CACCGGATGACGTTTGTTGAGACGCTTTCCATGCTTGAGGAAAGTCGACATATGATTTTGGTAGTTTTCTAAGCCTAAAGAAACCTACCGGATAATACTTTCCATGCTTGAGGAAAGTCGACGTATGAATTTGGTGTCATTCTATGCTTGAAGAAATCCACCGATAATGCCTTCCATGCTTGAGGAAAGCCGACAAAGGAATTTGGCGCCGATAACGCTTTCCATGCGTGAGGAAAGCCGACTTGGCGGTTTTCTATGCTTGAAGAAAAATCCACCGATAACGCTTTCAATGCTTGAGGAAAGCCGACTTGGCGGTTTTCTACGCTTGAAGAAAAATCCACTGATAACGCTTTCCATGCTTGAGGAAAGCCGACTTGGCGGTTTTCTATGCTTGAAGAAAAATCCACCGATAACGCTTTCCATGCTTGAGGAAAGCCGACGACTACTGTAATCGCTGAAATTTGCAAGTGTATGATGGTTCGATTATCCCCGAACGTGGGTCGCAGATGATTCATACCTTCAAATCGATTATCCGACCATATTAGGTGTTTAAAATGTCGAAAAATAGACTTTGATGCTTGCTAGGGGTAAAATGGTAATTTTAGTCCTCTTTAAGTATCAGTTAGAATTTTCCGCGTAATTCCAGTGAAAAAATAACTGTCCAATTTGCGTGGAAAATCGTGCAATTTTAGTCAAAATGCCAGGAATATTCGCAAATAGCTATGTAGGGCAGGCACAAAGCCACCGTGTCATGAAATAGATTCCCGTGACACGGCACGAGTCCCCGTCACGCGGAGCAGATTCCCGCGACGCGATAGCGGAGTCCCGTCACGCGGAGCATATTCTCGTGGCGCGGGAAATTAGGTGGCTGAAAATCAGGCATCTTTGACCAGTCAGACCATGTGCACCACACAATATATTACCGTTACATTGTAACGGGATGCTTTTTCTTGCTTTAAATTCAAGCTTCTTCTGCCATTTTCGCCATTTCCGCACTCCCCTTTTCCATTTTCTTTTTTTTCTCTGCTCAAATTACCGAGCCACGGCAAAAACACACCGGCACACGGAGTTGTTTCCGGTTGGACGGGGTCACTAACCGTGTCACGGCATTTCTGTGTTTTCGTCTTCTTTTTTTTTATTTTCGTCTTCTTGACACGGTTAGTGACCCCGTCCGACCGGAAACAACTCCGTGTGCCGGTGTGTTTTTGCCGTGGCTCGGTAATTTGAGCAGAGAAAAAAAAGAAAATGGAAAAGGGGAGTGCAGAAATGGCGAAAATGGCAGAAGAAGCTTGAATTTAAAGCAAGAAAAAGCATTCCGTTACAATGTAACGGTAATATATTGTGTGGTGCACATGGTCTGACTGGTCAAAGATGCCTGATTTTCAGCCACCTAATTTCCCGCGCCACGAGAATATGCTCCGCGTGACGGGACTCCGCTGTCGCGTCACGGGAATCTGCTCCGCGTGACGGGGACTCGTGCCATGTCACGGGAATCTATTTCGTGACACGGTGGTTTTGTGCCTGCCCTACATAGCTATTTGCGAATATTCGTGGCATTTTGACTAAAATTGCACGATTTTCCACGCAAATTGGACAGTTATTTTTTCACTGGAATTACGCGGAAAATTCTAACTGATACTTAAAGAGGACTAAAATTACCATTTTACCCCTAGCAAGCATCAAAGTCTATTTTTCGACATTTTAAACACCTAATATGGTCGGATAATCGATTTGAAGGTATGAATCATCTGCGACCCACGTTCGGGGATAATCGAACCATCATACACTTGCAAATTTCAGCGATTACAGTAGTCGTCGGCTTTCCTCAAGCATGGAAAGCGTTATCGGTGGATTTTTCTTCAAGCATAGAAAACCGCCAAGTCGGCTTTCCTCAAGCATGGAAAGCGTTATCGGTGGATTTTTCTTCAAGCATAGAAAACCGCCAAGTCGGCTTTCCTCAAGCATTGAAAGCGTTATCGGTGGATTTTTCTTCAAGCATAGAAAACCGCCAAGTCGGCTTTCCTCACGCATGGAAAGCGTTATCGGTGGATTTTTCTTCAAGTATAGAAAACCGCCAAATTCCTTTGTCGGCTTTCCTCAAGCATGGAAGGCATTATCGGTGGATTTCTTCAAGCATAGAATGACACCAAATTCATACGTCGACTTTCCTCAAGCATGGAAAGTATTATCCGGTAGGTTTCTTTAGGCTTAGAAAACTACCAAAATCATATGTCGACTTTCCTCAAGCATGGAAAGCGTCTCAACAAACGTCATCCGGTGGATTCCTTCAAGCATAGGAAGCTACCAAACTCATTTGTCACCGATACACTGGTGTCAGATACGCATTCTATCCCTTTACTCTTTTATCTGTAGAACTAACATTTTTCTGCAGGTATCGGCGTATACAGGTGATTTAGGATCGCAGAACGTCTTAAATCATTCTCCGTCCCTATCGACTACTTTGACTATCGTTCTCGAAACTGACGTTTCTACAAACTCAGTCAAAGTGGGGGCTTCTGTAGACACCTAAAAATGTCTCCCCAAAACCAAACCCGATGATGAACAAGCTTTCACCGCCATTATTGGTCGGGTTGAGTATTTAATTTTTGAAGTGCTTAAATCCATATTCAATCCCAATAAATTTCATAAAACCAACCTAATTCCTAGCCCATTTCCCCAAACCATAACTAATTTTCCTCTTTTCGTGCCTTTAAACCCAAAATAATTCATTTCGTGTCCTTTAAAATCATTCATTTCGTGACCTTTTTATAAAAACGTTTAATCGAGTTAATTTTGGTCCATAATATGGGCCCAATGATTAAATAATTGGATGGGGCTTTAAAAGAGCTTTCCAACGATATATTATAAGCCCAAATCCGAGTTATAACGAATAAGTTATGGCCAAAATATTAAATTGAGCCCAAACCGAACCTATGCCACCTTATCTACAACCCAATGATCATGTGGAGGGTCCAAATTATTTAATCTCATTCCTAAACCAATTAGGATTAATTAGAAGCTTCTATAAGTTTCTAAAAGATCCTAATTATCCGTTTTGAAAAGATAAGATTAAAGAGTTTGAAATTGAATAAAACTTTTCTTTTTGAAAATCCTAATTTTATCCGAATTGAAGACGTTCAAAGATAGACAGATATTATTTTCGTGCCTCATAGTTTTTATCCAAATTTTATATGGTTGGATAGCCCTTGAAATTATCTTTCCAATGATATATTATAATATCAATTCCGAGCTATAACGGAAAAGATATGAATAAAGTGTCAAACTCTATCCAAAACTGACACCGTCTCACTATTTCGGCCATATCTTTTATTCTACAAAATATTTTTATCTGATTCTAATTGGGTTAGAAAGTAGACTTGAAGAGCTTTCCAAAGATATCTTATTCATCTTATTCTTATTTCTGGATCTAAAGATATGATAAAAACAAAAATTGCAAAAACTGCAGTCTATCAAGTTTTATTCCGATTTAATTCTTATCTTTTCTTGATTCTTCGACCTTCTTTTTTTCTCTATAAATAGAAGTCATATCTCCCCTTTTTCAATCATCAACAAGCTTGATCACAAAATAATTCTCTTCTCCCTCTTTAGCCTAAATACTAGCCACCTTATTCTCTCAAAATACTTCCCCTAATTAAGCACTTATACTTAAACCAAGGCGTGAAAGGTATAATTACCTGAGGGTTTGGTTTTGGGGAGACATTTTTAGGTGTCTACAGTAACCTTTATTGATCCTTATCAAAACTTATTTGTACTTATATGAACTTATTTTCCCTTCAACTGGAATTAAGGTGAAATGTTCAGGATCATCCACTAATGTGTATCAATGCCTCCAACGTGAATAAAGAAACACATTGTCTATCTCTACTAAGACAGTTTATCTCTTCCTAGGTCCCACTCTAAATAAGCAGTCTCATAAAAAAATAAAATAAAAAAAAATAAAAAAAAAACAGTCGCAATCTTGCACAAAACCAGAAACCTCAAGCAAGGGTTGTTATGTGGTTTCCCCTGCATGAAAGGATACTAGCTACGTATAACCTAAAGCACTAAATGGGGATTACAATAAGTCAGCAAGACTAAACTTGGACTTGTGTCAAGCACTATCCACAGTTCCACACACCACCTGAGTGTTTTATTTCAAAGTTTTTCTTACAGTTTGAGTGAACACAGGATTTAGGAAATCTGAGTTCAAGAAGTGGCGAAAATAGTAGAGAGAGTTAGAAAGGGATAAGGTTCTCCAAAGCATTTCCAGGAGGAGATTTTTTTACTGCCTCTTTACACATGTCACGTTCCAAGATAAACATTTTTGGGTTTCAGTTTCCGACTTTGAAGTACTTTGTGGAAATTAACTTACAATAAAAGGAATTTTCATGTACCAATGATAAAGATACAACTACACTCCAAATCGCATAATCTAAGCACCCTAAATTTAATGCTGGAAATGTAATTTGCCATTATTTTTAGGATGAGCATGAGATGAGTACATCTTAGAGAGTGGTTCCCCATCTTAAACAAGCTTAGGCTAGAAAAAAAATGACTAAAATTATATGTGATGCTATTGTATTCATAGTCATTAATTCATCATCTGAACGGAGCATTATACAAACCTAATCCTTATTGAGTGATATCCCATCCAATCTAAGAGGTATAGTTATGGTACTGCTGGTCACTGGGACTCACAAGACTACATACACTACAAGAGAAAAAATTGGTAAAGAGCTCACTCAAATTATTTAGGCCTAGCCGCGTTGGGACTTTGTTATGCACACCATGTAAGCACAGTTCTCTACAACCTAACAAATAAACATATTCAAGCAACTTTTCCATTGTAGTATAGTCATGATCCACAAACAGACATTACATAACAACAATTTAGAAAACAAAATTAGTCATAAAAAACTCAAACAAGCGTCAATTGCAAAGCATAAGAATCAGCAATGCCAACAACAAAGGCAAATGCAAGTAGATGTGACATGACATACCTTAAATCAGCGAAGATTAAGAGCTACAGCCAGACTGGAACCAACTAGAAGGCGGCCAATAAAGCTTGGCATAACTCTCAGATTCTACCAAGTAACTACTAGAGTTTGTTTTCATGTCAAAAACTTTAGTGAATTCATCAATTCCACCAATTCTATCACCTTCCTCTTCAACAGAGACACCCTTAAAGTAGATAACATTTCTTATATCACCATAATAATCATTTCTAGACAATGAAAAATTTGCATCATCACCCACAAAGAACACACAATCATTCAAGTCCGACTCATAATCCCAAAAATGTCCCTTATCATCCAATTTAAACACTCCAAGCTTAATATCTCGACCGTCATCAATGCCAACTCGATCAACTACATACAAATTCCCATCACACTCCACCAAATATGTACACATACCATTACCATACACCAATTTTGGCACCAAATCAAGGGGTTTTAACCTGGAATCAATCATCACAAGCCTTCCTTTTCTATCAGCAGTAGCATAAAACTTCCCATTATAACTTATAATATCATCAAAAGAACGCCCATTTACCCCAATTTCAGTCCACTGTTCATCCCCAATTCTCCAAATCAACAATTCCCCACTTAATTTCAAACCCAGAACAACAAAATCACCTTTTACAGCGAAATTCTTCGCAACAACAGCCTTCTTAAAAGGATTCTGCGGCAACCCCAAATCAGAATTAACAACATACGATTCACAAACAACAGAAACCCTATAATCAAGAAGATTCAAACACAAATTCGGTTGAGGGAATTTAGAGTAACTCAAAAGAGGGTCGAAAAGAGAGAACCCATTTCGTTTACCTTCTCTCTCCTCAACCTTAATGAGAAAACCACCATTAGAGAAGTTTTCAGGAGGAGATAAAAGATAAACAGTTCGTTTAGAGAGAGAGAGTTGAGAAGGAGAGGTTGAGACGCCATTGGAGAGTGGAAAAGGGAGCTTGAGAGGGAAAGTAATGGAGGAAGGAAGAGGAGAAAGGGAAGAATGCCATGACCTGCAAACGGAGCGAAGTCGAAGAGTGCCAATTTTTGGGTCAATACGATCGGCGATCGATGATAGAATGTCGTCGGGAAGATCGGGCCACCGTGATCTCTGCCCGCCGCCGCTGCTGCTGTCGCCGGAAATAGTGGACATCGTCTGATTCATTCACCAAATGAATGAATTTCTCCGATGGTAAATAAGAACGTTTGATCACCTGAAGTTTGTTCTATTTTCTCGGTAGAAAAATACGAATATTTTGTTTTTACAAATTTTTGTATGTGGTTATTGGTTTAGAATATTTTGTTTAGAAAAATACGGCAAGGGTTACTTGTAGAGTGTTACTGGTTTTGTCAGGGGTTACTTGTAGGTGTTACTTGTATTTTGGGGTTACTTGTATGGGTGTTACAGGTTTTGGTCGGGGTTACTTATAGGGTGTTACTAATTTTGTCAGGGGTTACTTGTATGGGTGTTACTGGTTTCGGTCGGGGTTACTTGTAGGGTGTTACTGGTTTTGTCAGGTGTTACTGGTTTTCTAGGGTTACTTGTATGGTTGTTATTGGTTTTGATCAAGGGTTACTTGTAGGGTGTTATTGGTTTGGTATGGGATTTTGTTCTGGAGTTACTCTGAATACAAGTAACACATACAAGTAACCCCACGATACAACTAACCCATACAAGTAACCTCATAATACAAGTAACACCCTACAAGTAACCCATACAAGTAACCCTAAAGTACAAGTAACCGTGCCGCACCATGTGGCTTGCCACACTGAAAAACCTCTGTTCTTTTTTGTGTTGACCGCTTTAACCATCGGTAAGCATCAAATTACTAAAAAAAAGGGGAGAAATGAATATTATACTCTCTCCGTTTCTTTTTACTCGCAACAAAGTAGTAGTTTGCGAACTCATAGGCAAAATATGGTTAGTGTAATTAACAAACATAAGGGCATGTGTTAGTATTAATCCAACCAAAAAAAAACAAAACAAATTCAAACACAACCACTAGCACCTAGCACCACCACCACCACCTAGCAGCAGCACCATCTAGCAGTACCACCACTACCACCTTAAAGCACCACCACCTAGCAGTACCACCACCACCACCTTGAAGCACCACCAGCTATTTCGCCCATAACCCACAAACCTGATTTCGCCCACAACCCAACACCCATTTCGCCCACAACCCCGATCAAAACCCACCACCTATTTCGCCCAGAACCCACCATCGATTTCGACCCACAAAACCCACCACCGATTTCGACCCACAAAACCCACCACCGATTTCGAGCCCTAAAACCCACCACCGATTTCAAACCACCCACCCACCCACCAACTTTAAAGAGTCCAGAAATTCGAACCGCCCAAAATTTCGAACCACCCACCAAAGTCGAACCAAAAACCACCAACGAACCCACGAAATTCGAACCTAGAACAAAGACATATCTGGAAAATTAAAGGTGTTATGGTTAAATTTAACTATCAAAACTCTAGATCTAGAGTTTTGATGGTTTAATTTTGTCCATAAAGCCTTAAAATTTGAGTTTTAGCAACAATGACAAAACAACGGCGACAAGGAAGAAAGGAAAGAAGAGAAAACGAAATCGGGGACAAGCGAGGGGACAACGGAGTGACTTCCAGCGAGGTGTTGTGGTTGTATTGAGGGGAGATCGGTGAAGAAAGAGAGAGAAATTCTGGGTATGGTGGTGGTGGTGGTGGTAGTGATGGTAGTGGTGGTGGTGGTTGGCAATTGAAAGTGATGATGAATTTATTTGGGAGGAGAATGATTTTGGTGGAAATGGTTAAGTTAATTAAGTAGTGTTAAAGTTAATAAGATAAAATCAATAGTTTAATTCGGGTGTTTAAAAACAAAAAGCAAAGAAAATAGTTTGTTGCAAGTAATGTGTGACGACCATTTATATTATTTGTTGTGAGTAAAAAGAAACGGAGGGAGTATTATAAAATGTTGTATTGATGGAAAAAGTGAAGAAATATGTCAGAAAAAATTATAAAAGGAAAAATCCAAACTAAAAAAAGTTCCCTCTAGAGCGGTTATTTCTTGGGAGGGTTTCGCCCTAGCCTTTGTTAGGTTTTGCTCCTTTGATCTCAAAGGTTCTCGTTTGATCTTGTTTCCCTCCAGAAAATTTTGAGTATAATCTGTGTTATTCTCAAGTGTGTCTTTCTACAATGAGTGTTTCTTCTCCCACTCGTGAGAGTACTGAAGAGGAATGTAGAAGTGAAGTTGAATGGCAATTAGATGATAAGGATGATGATGAATCTAGGGTCATGCTAGGAGTGGTTGGGAAAATCTAGACGGAGAGAAGTGTAAACAACAACGCTCTAATCTCAACTATGAAGCATATCTGGAATCCTAAATATGGAATGGAAGCAAATAGCATAGGTAAGAATACCTTTTTCTTCCAATTCCATCACGGAAGGACAAGGAATTTGTAATGGAAGCCCGCCCATGGCACTTTGATAGCCATGCTTTAGCCCTCTATGATATACAAGGGGACGAAAAACCCTCAGATATGCCCCTTCACCAATCCCCGTTCTGGGTCCGGGTATATGATCTCCCCTTTGCGGGTCAAAGCAATGAGTCCAATGCTCATACAATTGGTGACAAGGTGGGAGTCTATATGGCTATGGATAAAACTGACATCGTAGGAATCAATAAGTCTCTTCGAATCAGAGTGATGATTGATCTCCAAAGGCCTTTGGTTAAAGAAGTCAGGCTGACAATGAGGGGAGGAGAAAAGAAATCCTTTGAGGTAAAATATGAGAAGCTCCCCCTGTTTTGCTACGTTTGTGAGAAGCTTGGACATGGTGAAAAGGATTGCGATGATGGCATCTGATTAGGGGATTTTTCCCACCAATCACCATTTGACAAGTGGACCAATCAGGTTCCGCCATGTGTCCGTCACATGGGCCAATAGGAGCCTGCCACGTGTCAAGCAATGATCCGTCCACTATGGACCAATTACGACACGACACGTGTCCTTCCCATGACACCTGGGATAACTGGTCACCAAGGCCCAACTTCCGAGGGAAGCCCAATCAGCCCAAGGTTAACCTAAACCTAGATTGGCACGTTTCCCGAGGTTATAAATACCTCCCTTTATCCTCATAAAAGGAAAAAAACGCAGATTACACACATTAAACTCTCTCACCTAGAGAGACCCAATCACTTTAATTTCCGCATTAATTACTCCTTAATCAAGTACTAACTTGACCGTCAGAGGCGGATCTCCAATCATCCGGAGCATCCGTTTGTTTTGCAGGTACAGGCGTCCGGTTCCAGTCTCGGAATTGTAACTCTCCCGCAGGACATCAGAAAACCCCGAAACATTTTGGCGCCGTCTGTGGGGAGAGTACTTCTGAGATGGCATCCACGTTTGTACCGACTCCTGAAGAGAGACGTCCCCTGGACGACCCTCTAGTTCAGTCGGACCACGATACTGAGAATGAATTTGAAGTTGAAGCTCACACAGCTTCAGACGGGACCCTAAGGGCCCGACGTACCCGTCATACCGAAAGGAGGGAACGGGAACATCTTCATACAGGAAGCGAGCCAGCAGGCGCACCGCCTGTTCGGCAACAGCCGACTGATGGGTCTGCTCCCATCACAAGGAACGAACTCATGACCTTCATGAGGGATTTCAAGGGAGAAATTCAATAGTTGATCAACAAGAAGCCGCCTGCTCTGGACAAGGAGCAGTCGGCTAAGAAACCCTCCACTTCACAGAAGAGGAAGCCAGTTCAAGGGCGAGAGGCGACCCCTCATCCTAAATCTAGGAAGCGGGAGCCACCTGCCCTTGATTTCACAAAATACCGTTTTCCTACTCCAAGAAATAGGAAACTTGTTCTTCATATTCAGGCGGACGGGTCGAGGAAAACATACACAGACGCTCGGCTACTGCTAGAGCAGAAGAAGAGTGACCGATTGTCAGAGTCGGCGTCTACTTCAAACTTCCAAGACAGTCTGCGAAATACCCTCGATGAGGCATACTCAGTCGTATCATGAGAGTCAGTCAGGCGGCACCTCCCGTCAGTCCGGCTATCATAGCGACCAGGCGGTACCAAACTTACCGTTTGTACCGCAACAACAGTATTTTTTACAGCCACCTCCGTTTGGTGGACATGCAGCAAAAAACGTCCAACCTATGGACTGGCAGCTACGGTTGCTTAGACTTGGCGAACAGCCGTCGGCCTTCTCCAAGGAAATTACTGAAGCCGCTCAGCCGGCCAAAGTGAAAAATGTATTAGTAGGCGCCTATGACGGCACTACTAACCCAGAAGACCATCTGATGGCATTCACCAACCTGATGTACCTTCAAGGATTGGATGATCCCACTTGGTGCAAGTGTTTCCCAGCGACTCTCAAAGGAATCGCACAACAATGGTTCGGCAACCTGCCGACTGGTTGTGTAAATAGCTTCAAGACGCTTGCTTACTTATTCACCTCCAACTTCGCCATGAACATCCCTGCGAAGAAGACGACCCTTGATTTAGGAACAATTCAGCAGGGCGAGAAGGAGGGGCTTCGTTCTTACATCAGGCGGTTTAACCTGATGAAAATACAGATTCAAGGGTTACCGGATGAAGTAGCCTATACTGACTTTTTCAGAGGTCTCAAAGACGGGTCGACCTTCAAATTTGATTTGGTCCGAAAGAGGGTGGCGACTCTTCAAGAGGCCTTGATTGAAGCAGAAGCTTATATACAGGCGACTGATCTTTGTAGTACGGTAAAACAGTCAGACGGGAGAAGGTCCGACAAAAGAGAAGGATGACAGAAACAGTCGTCAAACAAAGACGAGAAGAGAAAAGAGGTTTAGGCGGCTGATTCCTCTAAACAGCCGGCCCAGAAAAAGAAAAAAGAATTCAAACCATACTCCCCAAAGTATGAGTTTAACAAGGATAGCCAATTTATCCTAAAGGAAATCAAGGGACGGATCTCAATTGAGAAGCCGGTCCCCATGAAGGGTTCTGCAAACAACCGGAACCAAGAAAAATTCTGTGGTTATCATGAAGATGTTGGTCATCACACCAATGAATGCATCAGTCTCATGCGGTATCTGGACCGCCTGGCTGAGCAAGGTGATCTTGACACTTATGTCAAGAAATCTACGGGGAACACTTCCTCGAAAAAGCAGTCGGCCAAAAAGAATCAACAGGCCGACAGTTCCGATACAGATGATGCAGCCGTCTACACCATTGCAGGCGGCTTCTCAGGAGGCGGCCCACTATTAGGGGCAACAAAGACAATATCAGACGGTTAGATGTAAATTCCGTTAACCAAGAACGGCTCTCCAAATATTCATTTCCTGAGATTGTCATCACTGAAGAAGATCTAGGAGGGGTAAGAGGGCCGCATGACGACCCTATCGTTATTGAATGTAAAGTGGCCAACCAGAGAGTTGGTCGAATCCTCATAGATACCGGAAGCTCCTCAGATCTCATCAGTAGCAAATGTCTGTCGAAACTAAAATATCAGACTGATTGCATACATCCGGC